TATTCAGGCAGCCAATGGACATATGAAGAAATGCCTATGATCATTAGCCTGTAGAGAGATTCAAATCAAAACAACAATGAGATACCATCTTGCCCCAACACTAGTAGCAAAGTTGAACAAGACAGAAAATAACAAATAGTGACAAGGATGTGGAGAGATTGGGACTCTCATACTCTGCTGGTGGGACTGTAGAATGATACAACCACTGTGGAAAACAATATGGTGATTCCTTAAAAAGGTGGAATTAGAAATACCATTTGACCCAGCCATTGCGTTACTAGGTATATATCCTAAAGAAATGAGATCCAGGACAAGAACAGATATATGCACACCCATGTGCATTGAAGCACTATTTACAATAGCCAAAAGATGGAAACAACCTAGGTGTCCATCAACTGAAGAGTGGATAACCAAACTATGGTACATACACACAATGGAATACTGTGAAACACTAAAGATTAATGTGTTGTTGTTGTTGTTATGTGACATTGAATCGGACCCGACTCATAGCGACCCCTCCTTGGGTTTCCGAGGCAGTTATCACTATGGAAGTAGATTGCCCCATCTTCCTTCTGAGGAGTGGGTGGTGGGTTTGAACCATCAGCCTCTGGTTAGCATTCAAGTGCCTTAGGCACTAAGCTACCAGAACTCCTAAAGATTAATGTAGAATCTGTGAAACACTGCATAACATGGATGAACTTGAAGGACATTATGCTGAGTGAAATACGTCAATCTCAGGACAAGTGTTGTGTTGGTCCACTATTGTAAAAAGTCAAGGAAATGTTCATACACAGAAGAAAACTTTCTTTGTTGGTTACCAGAGATGGGATGGGAGGGGAGGGAAAATTGCTAGATAGGTAAGAGGCAAGTATTGATTTGGGTGAAGGGAAAGGAAATATACCAACACAGTAACACTAAGGAAAATGAAGACACAGAGAGGTTCAAGAGACACAGAAGGTACAAGAGGTTCAGGGAGCAAAGATAAACACTTCTACATATGCAATACTGCATTATCAGTTATAACAAACATTAATTTAATCACATTAATTTAATCTACAGGTAGATACATAGGTAGACAGGCTGAATGATCAAATATCTCTAGACAAAACTGAATATACCCATGGTCATATATAAGTTTTGCAGATGATATTTTTACAATGTATTTGTATGTACTGTAAGAATGTTCATATAAATAGAATTAACAGGGAACAAAATTATGATTTCTTAGTCACAGCCAACCACCCAGTTTTTGGACCTGTGGGCTCAGGACCATGGTCACAAAGGACATTAAGCTCAATTGGCACAACGATAGGCAAAAACATTGTTCTACATCCTACATTGATAAGTAGAGGCTGATGTCTTAATAACTTGCAAATAGCCATCTAGATGCAACACTTAGTCTCTCCTCATCTGGAACGAAGAAGAATGAAGAAAATCAAAGATGCATGGAAACAATTAGTCCAAGGGACTAGTGGACCATGCCAAACTCAGCCTACATGACCATGAGAACAGAAGAAGATGATGCCCGACTACCACTGTCAACCACTCAAAGGGGTCAGTGCAGAAGATCCTGGATAGAGTGGGAGAAAAATATGGAACAAAACTCAAAATCATAAAAAAGACCAGGCTTACTGGTCTGATAGAGACTGGCGAAACCCTTGAGTCTATGGCCACTAGTCACCTTTCAGGACCGGAATTGAACTCCTGTGCTTTCCAGCCAAACAATAAATAGGCATATAAGATGAATATTTACATCAGAAAGATATGCTCCTCAGAACAGTCAAGCATGGAAGACCAGAAGGGTGGTATTTGCATAGGGAGGTAGCTCAGAGGGCCAGAATGCATAGGAAAGAAGGACATAGGGAAAAGGTAGCTGCAGGGAGATAATGGGAAGAGAGCTGGGGATTGTAGTTAATTTCATGAAACAAAAAGTATACGAACTGATGTATGGAAAAAGAATTTGCTCAGTAAACTTTCACCCAAATCACCAAAAAAAAAAGAAAAGAAAAAGTACAAGGTTAGAAGGAAAGTTAATTCAAAACTTTATACTCAAACAACTGGTTATTCATGTAGGAACAAATGAACCTGAAAATCCCAAATGCTTAATATTTAATGTGACATTGATCATAAATCTAAATGTAGAAGCTAAGCATATAATTCCAGAAGGAAATAATATGGAAATTTCTTCATGATCTTGGGATAAGCAAGTCACGTTAGACAGGAAAATACCTACCAATGCAATAAAATAAAAGATAATTTGGATTTCATGAAATATTTATGATATGTATCATATATCTTACTGAAAATAGAATATTGGAAAAACCTTCAATCTTATAAGATCATACTTTAATTTTTTTCTCATCTGCATTATCAAATAGTCCTAAAAAGCAACTGTTGAGAATAGTAAGTCCTTAATAAAAAAGCAGGGAATATTATGTAAGAGTTAAGAATCCCTTTGTACTTTTTCTGTCAACTGGTATACTTCATATAAAAACATGTTAATTAAAAATTATAAAATAACTTAATTTTTTAATTTTATTGTGTGATGGGGAGCTAATTCCAACTCATAGTGACCATAAATGAAAGAATAGAACAGCCCCATGGAGTTTTCTAGGCTCTAATCTCTACAAGAGCAGATCTTCAAGTCTCACCTCGTGCAGAACCAAGTGGGTGGGTAACCATGGACCTTTTAGTTAGCAGCTCAGAGCTTAACCAATTGTGCCACCAGGGTTCTTTCAAATACAGAAAGGCATTTACTATATTCCTGGTTATTGCAGCTCTGGGTAAAAGAACAGACTATATGGTCAGCTGCAGGGGAATGCTAGGCTTAAACAGAACCAAATTAGATATGCATTAAAAATTTAATTTGACTAAACTATTATCAAAACAAACTAAATATCAAGCATTGAACATAAGTTTAAATTGATCTTTCCAAACTATGTACATTATAGAAAATATTCTCATTTTTAAGAAACAAATTACTATTTTAATCTTGCACAATTAATTTACTATGTTAGGACAACTCTGGCCAATGTATGAGGCATGCATCATAGTGAGCACCCTGAATGAAATTGGAGCGGAATGGAGTCTGTGCCCTTGGTTGCACCAGCCAAATGGTGGAAGCTATCAAGAAATGTCAATTGGCAAGGTCCCCTTGTATATTTTTATTATGCTTTTTCCTCAGTTTTTCAATTTGTAATTTGAAGTAAAGTAAACAAATAGTTTATTTTTTTAAGATGTTTCAACAAACTGATGCCACACTGGAGGCACTCACTCGATTATGCCAGGAGATTTGGAAGACAGCTATCTGGCTAACTGACTGGAAGAGATCCATATTTGTAGCCATTCCAAAGAAAGGTGATCCCACAGAATGGGAAAATTATCAAACAATATCATTAACATCACATACAAGTCAAATCTTACTGAACATAATTCAAAAAGAGTTGCAACAGTGAATTGACATAGAACTTCCAGAAATACAAGTTGGATTCAGAAGAGGATGTAGAATAAGGGATATCATTGCTGATTTTAGATGGATCTTGGCTGAAAGCAAAGAATACCAGAAAGACGTTTACTTGTGTTTTATTGACTATGCAAAAACATTTAATTGTATGGATCATAACAAATTATAGGTAACATTGAGAAGAATGGGAATTCCAAAACATTTAATTGTACTCATGAGGAACTGTACATAGACCAGGAGGCTGCCTTTAAGGCAGAACAAGGGGGACACTGCATGTTTAAAATCAGGAAGGGAGTGAGTCACAGTTGTATCCTTTCACCATACTTATTCAATCTGTATGCTGAGCAAATAATCCAAGAAGCTGTATTATATGAAGAAGAACATGGCATTAGGACTTGAGGAAGGCTCATTAACAACTTACGATACACAGACAACACAATTTTGCTTGCTGAAAGTGAGGATGACTTGAAGAACTCACTGATGAAGATTGAAGACTACAGCCTGAAGTATGGATTACATCTCAATATGAAGAAAATAAAAATCCTCACAACTGGACCAATAAGTAGCATCATGATAAATGGAGAAAAGATTGAAGTTGTCAAAGACTTCACACTGCTTGTTTCTGTAATCGATGCCAATGGAAGCAGCAGTCAGGAGGTCAGATGATGTATAGTACTGGGCAAAAAATGGCTGCAAAGGACCTCTTTCAAGTGCTGGGGAGCAAAGATACCTCACTGAGGACTAAGGTGCACCTGATCCAACCCATGGTATTTTCAATCACCTCATATGCATATGAGAGCTGGACAATGAATAAGGAAGACCAAAGAAGAATTGATGCTTTTGAGTTGTGGTGCTGACGAAGAATGCTGAAAGTACCATGGTCTGCTAAAAGAACTAACAAATCTGTCCTGGAAGAATTGCAGCTGGAACACCCCTTGGAAGTGAGAATGACCAGACTATGTCTAACCTACTTTGGTCATGTTGTCAGAAAGGACCATACCCTGGAGAAGGATGTCATGTTTGGTAAGGTGGAAGGTCAACAAAAGAGGGGAAGGTCCCTCCACAAAATGGTTTAACACAGTGGCTGCAGCGATGGGCTCAAGTAGAGCAGGGATCATGGGGCTTGTGTGGGACTGGGTGGTGGTTCCTTCTGCTGTGCATAGGGTCGCTATGAGTTGGAGACAACTTGACAGCAGCTAACAATAACAACAACATTATATTATTATAGTAAAAAGAGCCCTGGTAACATTAATTGATGGATTTCTAACCAAAAGATCTCTGTTTTTTGTGGCATAAAGATGTGGCAGTCTCCTTCCATAAAGATCTACAGCTCACAAACCTTGTATGCTAGTTCTACTCTGTCCTATAGGGTTACTGTGAGTCAGAATCAACTCCATGGCAAGTTTTTTTTTTTTTTTTTAATAAAAACAATTTATTTTATTAAAGGGTGCCACTAACACATTTTGTTAGGGGGTTGAAAATATTTTCCTCTCACCCTTAGTGATTGCTTTCAAATCTCTGGTATTTTCTCTCCTAGGTAAGGTCTATATTGATATTGGTTACCGTTCCAAACCTACAAAATGGCCATTTTTCTTGCTCATTCCCTTTTTCATTATTCTATCTATACTGATTGCTGTACTGGTGAAAGTTAATATCCAAAGAAAAAAATGGAAAACAGAGGACTATACAAGTGATGAGTATATATCAATTTTATATTTCCCATTTATTACTTTTACAGTTTATTGACATATGTAGTGACTGCTTATTAAAAAGCATTATGTGTAATAACTGCATTTTGATTAATATAATGGATACTAAACAGAATTTTTTTAAAACCAACAATTTAAATCTTACAACAACTTGTACTTTCTTAGGGATAAAATTAAGAACTTATTTTTGGTTGAAGTTTATATTACACCTTTTATTAAGGTTGTGTTAATTATAAATTGTGGCATAGTGTGTAAGGTATTTGACGCCAACCCAGAAGGCTGGCGGTTCAAGCCTGCCAGTCACTCCTCAGAAGGAAGATTATGCAATCTATTTCCATAGAGATACCACTTTGGAAACCCAAGGAGGGGTCCATAGAGTTGAAATTGACTTGACGGCAGTGAGTTTTATTAATTTTATTTTACTTTTAAATATATTTATAGATTGTGAAGAATTTGTACATATTATTTTATTAAAAGGTCACAGGAAAATTCAGGAGAGCAGTTTAATCCTTTTTATAGCTAAATAATTTGAGATACAAGTTTTCAGAGGTGGAAAATACTGAAAAATCAAAATATAACACATATAAAACTGGAAAACCTGGGTTATAGCTTTTGTTTATGCTCTGTTTACCTAGTAGCACTCTGACAGGAATATACCACAAATGGGCTGGCCTTACAAAAGAGAAGTTGATTCTTAAAATTTGGAGGCTTTACATCTGAGTTCAAATTGTCAGGCTCTAGGGACTGGGTGAAAACCCCTCAGCCTTGGGCTTCAGCTCTGCCCCCTGTTCCCAGCCCACTGAAGCTTGAGGCTTTTCTTCACTCAGCTGCTGGCTGCTGAGGCTGACAAACCCAATGATAACAAGTAATAAGGCACAGTTCCAGTATTACCAAACCACACAGCAGGCCAAATTCAAGTCCATTTAAATTCCCAAGGTTGGCAGAGCATGGCAGGCTGCTGAACAAAGACATGGCTACATGAAGGGTTCAAGCTTGCCATAAGCTGGAGACCATTCCCAAAGCTATTTCTTATACACGGAAAGCAGACCACATACCCAAAGCAGCTACTCAGCTGCTCTAATAAATTCCACCATGGAGTTAATTACCAATCTCACCTTGGGGAATAACTACATTCAGCCGCTCAGACACTCAACCTGGCCCAGCCAAGTTGACACACAAACTTAACAACCACAGTTTATCTATAGAATATATTTAACAAATAATTTTCTTTAAAAACTTGGAAATATCTGAAAACTTGTTTCAAGAATAAAAAGAAATATTAAAATTAATTTACTTCTCTTCAGGGGAATTACTATAAAATAATTTCTACCTCTTTTTTTTTATTCTGAGCCCTCCATTGTACTAAAAATTATTTGAGCTTTGTTAACATCCTTAATTAAATTAATAAGCATATCAATGAAAAGGGAATATATTTCATAGAAGCTATGAAAAGTTTGCATTAAATCTTTAAAGGATATGCAGCACATAAAATAGTTAACGTAGTATAGTCAATACTTAAATATGTTAAAGGAATTGTCACATTGGATATAATTTATTTTGGAGAAACTGATATAAAATACATTTTTTGGGGGGTAAGTAGCTAAAACAATTAATAGAAATAAATTGAGAAGATGCAAGACAAAAAAATGTTTATAAATATTTAACTAATATTATGAATATGAATGGAAGAAAGGTTGGGCAATCTACTTCTGTATTGATACTGCCTTGGAAACCCATGGAGGGGTTGCTATGAGTCAGATTTAACTTGACGGCAGTGAGTTTGTTTTTTGTTTGCTTTATGAATATGAAAATTGTCTCAATTTATTTCCTGGTAAATTTACATTACTGTGTTTTTTCTCATATTTGGGAATACAAAGAGAATCATTGTTAGTCTTGATTAGCAGGTGAGATGTGGTCTCATAGGTAGAATATTCTCATGTAGTGGCTTCTCACAGAACTCAGGTAGGGATTCAATAAGATCCCAATATCGTAGAGAATATAGAGTTTGTAGAACAATATCTAAGAAAATAAAATCTTAATTGATTATTTTTATTTTTAAATGTGTAGGCAATTTGAAAGTGAAAGTGAAACCAAGGAGTAATCTGGACAACAGAGAATCCATGATATCAAAGTAAGTGGCAAATGATTTAAGAGAGAGACAGAGAGAAAAAAAAGAGAGAGAGAGAGAGAAAGAGGGAGAGAATGATAATTTAACGTACTAGAGAAATATAAATAATACATTTTAAATAATAATGATGGTCATATAGCTACTTGTCATTAGAAAAAAATAAATTGGAGGATATATTTTAATATTGTAAGGTATATCATTAACCAAAAAAAAAACCCAAACTCACTGCCATGGAGTGGATTCAATGCATAGTGACCCCTTGTTGGGTTTCTGAGGCAGTATCACTATGGAAGTAGATTGCCCAACCTTCTTACTAAGGAGTGCCTGGTGGGTTTGAACCCAGCCTTCTGGTTAGCAATCAAATGCCTTAGGGGCTATATAACATTTCAATTTTCCATATGCTGAATTTTAAAAAGGTCTTGCAGTATCTATTTTTTTTTTTATTAGAAAGTTTAAGCCTTCAGCATTTGTGTATTCAAAATGTCTATTAAAAATAAATTACATAATAGTTAACGTCACAATAATTTTATGACCTTCATACTATTTGTTGATTTAATCATAACTTAATTTGATTTGTCATACAGGTGACATTTTCTCCTGTATTCAGTCTTTCAAGGCAGAAAAGGAAAAAAAATAATCTACATTGCCTGGAGTTCAAAAACTTCCCATTGCTATTTTAATACAACAGGGAAAAAAAATATGTGTGTGCATATTTATATATATTTGTATGTATGTTATTATTAGGTGCCTGGTCCCACGCTATTCCAACAATCCTTGTTATGCTTGAGATCATGATCGTATCCACACTGTCAATCCATCTTTATCGCTGACCATCTACTTTACCAAGCATGATATCCTTCTCCAGAGACTAGTCCCTTCCAACAACAAGACCAAAATATATGAGATGAAGGCTGGGCATTCTTGCTTCTAAAGAGTATTTGACTACTTTCTCCAAGATAGATTTGTTTGTTCTTCTAGCAGTCCATGGTATTTTCAATATTCTTCACCAACACCACAATTAAAATGCATCAATTCTTCTGTGATCTTTTTATTCCTTTTCCAGCTCTCACAAGCATATGATGCTCTTGAGAAGACTATGGCTCTGGGCAGATGCACCTTAGATTTCAGAGTGACATCTTTGCTCTTTAACACATTACAAGGTCTTGGCAGCAGATTTGCCTAGTGCAATACAATGTCTGGTTCTTGACTGCTGTTTCCATAAACATTGATTGTGGATCTATGTAAAATTAAATACTTGACAATTTCAATCTTTTTTCCATTTTTCAGGATGTCTATTGGTCTAGTTGTAAGGATTTTTATTTTATTTAATAAATGTAATATTTATGAATGTAATCCATACTGAAGGTGGTGATGTTCATCACTGAGTGCCTCAAGTCATCTTCACTTTCAGCAAGCAAGGGCTTGTGTCATCTGCATATTCCAGGTTATTAATGAGTCTTCCTCCAATTCTAATGTTGAGTTCTTCATATAGTCCAGTTTCTCAGATTATTTGCTCAGTATACAGATTGAATAAGTATGATGAAAAGATGTAACAAGGATGCAAACCTTTCCTGATTTTAAACCATGCAACATTCCCTTGTCCTGTTCAAACAACTTACTCTTGGTATATATGCAGGTTCCTCATGAGCACAATTAAGTATTCTGGAACTCCCATTCTTCACAATGGTATCCATAATTTGTTATGACCCACACAGTCAAATGTGTTTTCATAGTTAATAAAGCACAGGTAAACATCTTTCTAGTGTTCTCTGCATTCAGTCTGACATCAACAATGATATCTCTCATTCCACGTCCTCTTCTGAATCTCGCTTAAATTTCTGTCACTTCTCTGTCAATGTATTGCTGCAAACTTTAAAAAAATTTATTTAGTAAAATTTTACTTGTATATAATATTAATTATATTGTTCAGTACTTTCCTAATTCTATTGGAGCACCTTTCTTTGTGCAGTAATGTATCAGACAATATTTCTCTGCTATTCATAAGACTGAATAAAGTTGATACAAGCCATGATATTCTCAATCACCTCATATGCGTTTGAGAGCTGGACAATGAGTAAAGAAGACCAAAGATGAATTGATGCTTTTGAGATGTGGTGCTGGAGAAGAATGCTGGAAGTACCGTGGACTGCTAAAAGAACTAACAAATCTGTCCTGGAGGAAGTGCAGCCAGAATGCTCCTTGGAAGCAAGAATGACCAGACTTCGTGTCACCTACTTTGATCATGTCAGAAGGGATCATTCCCTGGAGTAGGATGCCATTCTTGGTAAGGTAGGAGGGTTGAAAAGGAGGGGAAGGCCCTCAACAAGATGGATTGACATAGTGGCTGCCACAATGGGCTCAAGAATTGCAGGGATCGTGGAGCTGGCACCGGACTGGGTGGTGTTTCGTTCTGCTGTGCATAGGGTTGTGATGAGTCATAGATGACTTGATGGCACCTAACAACAACAACAACCTTTCCTTGAAAGAGGGACAAACATGGATTTTTCTATCCAGTTGGCTATGTAGTTGTCTTCCACATTTCCTGGCATAAGATGACTGAGGATTTACAGCATTGCATTCATTTGTTGAAACATCTCAGTTGGTATTCCATCAGTTCCTGGAGCCTTGTTATTCACCAGTGACTTCAGTACAGCTTGGACTTTCAGTACCATTGGTTCTTGATAAAATGCTACCTCCTGAAATGGTTGAACATTGACTAATTCTTTTTGGTACAGTGACTCTTGTTTATTACCTCCATCTTCAATGCTTTCTATGTTGTTGAATATTTTGCCCATAGAATCCTTCAGTATTGCAATTTGAAGCTTGAAATTGTTTCTTCAGTTCTTTCAGCCTGAGAAATTCTTATCATTTTCTTCCCTTTGGTTTTCTAACTCCAAGTCTTTGCACATTTCAATATGACACTTTACATTCCCTTCTCAAGCTTCCCTTTGAGATATTTTGTTCATCTGCTTTACTTCATCATTTTTTCCACATGCTTTAGCTTTTCTATATGCAGGTGCAAGTTTCTGAGTCTCTTCAGACATCCATTTTGGTCTTTTCTTTCTTTCCTATCTTTTTAATGACTTTTTGTCTTCTTCATGTATGATGTACTTGATATCAGTCCATTGATCTTTGGTCATTAGTATTCAATATATCAAATTTGTTTTTGAGATAGTCTCTAAAGTCAGATTCAAATATATATATATATATAAATGGGAGCTCTGGTAGCATAGTGCCTAAGGCACTTGACTGCTAACCAGAAGGCTGGTGGTTCAAACCCACCAGCCACTCCTCA